AATCCTTTTTTTTTTTTTTTGGGTGATTCCTTTCTTGTTCAAGTTGAAAAGTACTACGTAAAAATGAACGATAGGCTTAGAAACTAGAAATGTCAATGATTCGATTTGACCTGTTGTTATCAATCTTTTCAGTTAATTTATTATGTATGAATAAAATTAGACTTTTTTTCCGTATTGTTCCATTATCTCAATTTCTCCCCTGTTTCAATTTGGTTCTGTTAAATTTCAGTTCCATATTTTTAAAGCATCAAATAAGACCACTAATATCACTAGGATTCTCAATGTGTTACCTAAAAATAGGAAACTCCAATGTAACATCAAAAAGTTTCAATTCTCATGTTAAGAGAACAATGAGATTTGGATTGGCATAAGAAAAATGGTTTTTCGGTAGCAATCATTTTTAAGTCAAAAAAACAATAAATTGGGATTGGTCAACTTATTACTAAAAAGGCTAAAAAGAGTTTAAAAGCTAATTTGACCAGCTTAAAAGCCAATCCGAACCCCTCAATATATGAAATGAACAACACTAACTTTTAAAATATACATGCTTTCAAAAGTATTTTTATAACTTTTTGTAGGCGCATTATTTTTTACTCTACCATCAATGTACACTTAAAAGCATTGCCTCCTTTTAGTATTGTTTGATTGAATATATTAAGAAAAATCAAGACTAAAACTAGGTGAACGAACAAAAGTATTTAACTTAAAAGAAGATATATGTAAGAACTAAAATCCAAAAGTTGTCTGATATAGAATATAAACAAAATACAAAAGATAATTTGAAGTCATGAATTTGCACTTGAAATAAATATCTTCTAGCCAACTTCTTGGACTTTCTAAATTATGAAATCGTATCACTTCCTATTTCTCCACATGCAGCAGAAAAGCCTCATTAAAGAAGGTTAAACTGAAAGCACTCAATAGTTTGACTTAGATACATGCTACCATGAATCTTGGCGCGCGACAAGACAAATTCTACTCAAAATTCATCCCTTATTGATAGTACAAGGTAGTGTACAATCATACAACACACTGGAGAAACACAAAGTAACTCTGGTAAGTGCAAAAAGAGCTACCCTCGAGCTGTTCTGCACCGTATCACATTGCTCATTTGCTGCTGATATGTGACAATTCCAGCAGCAGCAGCAGCAGTCTGTAAGTAACTTAGGATCTTACGCACAACATGCCCATACAGGACACATTTGTCTAGCAATTTTTGGGCTGATACTTCAACTTAGTCCTGATATAACTTAGATTATTGAAGGCAGAAAGAATAATTCAAGAAGCTGGATGGCCTGGGACCTTACGAGCATAAACCAGCACCATCACAAAGTCCTTTGCTGATGAACCAATAATAGCTGGTATTCTTTCTGATGTAGTAGTTTCAAGCCACATATCTACCAAAGTATTCAGTTGTAAAGTGGGGACTATCAACTGACCCATACATCTAACTTCAACCTACAAAATAACCTAAACAGTCAGCACATCATAGAACTGGAACCATGACAGATATGCTTCCCCTAAATAACACCCAATTCTTGAGTCGCAGATTGTGGAATCCAAGGAGAATCAGTAATGCACGAAGAAGATATAAAATAGGTTCATGGAAATGCTAAGACTCATCATAAAAAACACAACCTGCTCACCTGCTTGACTTCATCTTACTTGTGCTGAAATGACAATAAACCATGAGAAAAACTCGGTCACTGATAGACCCTAGAACCAAAACTAGTTATAGCCGTCAACTTCATTAACGACTTGATATAGTCCAGCTAGTATTTGTCAAATATTTTAGCATAAATTGCTTTGAACAGCTACCTTCTTCCAACATTGAAACTAACACGGATTACTAATTTCACCATGTATGGTGTGTAACAAACAATGTTATTCTGCGCCTACTTCTACGCTTCTTTACAACCCTTTCCCATCTCAATTTGAATGAAATGAAAGGTAAACTGGAAAATAACTTACTAGTAGATGCCACATATTCTCGTTGAACATCACATAAAACATGTTACCATCCCTCATCTTAATAATCAGATTAAGTCAAAAAGGTTAAACTGTCCAAGGTTAATGTTACCAAACATGATGCAAGGTAATTTCTTCAATGCTGAAACAATTTCTGCACTTATTCCCAAAATATTTCTCCAGTTGGACCAATTCAAAAGGACCGAAACCAACTAGACCAAAATCACACCCAACAGGACAAAGAATTAGAAAAAAATCAAGCCCCTCCATATTTTATTTGAACTTCGACCAGAATGATGTTGGATTGTTTAGTGCATAAATGTTGAGAACATTCTGTAAGTGGTAAATGGCAGCCAAAGAGCAACAAAAATTACCTCATCTTCGCTCATAAGATCTAACTTCCTCATCAGATACTTTTGGATGAAAGAAACGGGAATATTGCCATCCCTGCAACAGAATGAAACAGAACATGAATACTATAACAAAAATGTGCAGACAGTCGCAAAATGCTAAACTAGTGGCTGTATCCGACTATAAGTGGACAATTTAAATCTTAATTTTAGTGCATGGCTGTTTTACCCTTGACCTTCCTATAGATCCTCTCAGTCTCTATAAGGACCAACCAATTGGCCACAGAAAATCAGAACGGATTGATGCCGGTACTTATAATACCAGAAGAAATACAGTAAAAGGTGGATTATTACGTCCCTTTCAATATTTTCAGAACCAACTACTGATCCAATGATATATTGAAAAGACTGCCAATAGATGACAACATTCGGTGAGATAGTGAAAGCAAGAAATTATGAGGGTGTTTGGCTAAGCTTATAAGCTGGTCAAACTACCTTATAAGCACTTTTCGACTTAACTACGCATTTGGTAAAGTTAAAAGTGCTTATAAGCCAAGTGCTTATAAGTCAAAAATAAGCCAAAAGCCAATATTTTCAGAACCAACTACTGATCCAATGATATATTGAAAAGACATGCCAATAAATGACAACATTCGGTGAGATAGTGAAAGCAAGAAATTATGAGGGTGTTTGGCTAAGCTTATAAGCTGGTCAAACTACCTTATAAGCACTTTTCGACTTAACTACGCATTTGGTAAAGTTAAAAGTGCTTATAAGCCAAGTGCTTATAAGTCAAAAATAAGCCAAAAGCCAATATTTTCAGAACCAACTACTGATCCAATGATATATTGAAAAGACATGCCAATAAATGACAACATTCGGTGAGATNACTATTTAAGATAAGCAAATTCTCTATTTCTTTGCATATTTATATCAATGTGATTGTGTATTAATCTTTGAACTGTATGTAATAAATGAGGACATATCAAATTTTTGGTGTATTATTTTTTTAGTGTTGTGGTGATGAAGACAGTGTTTGTTTTTCTTCAAATATTTTTTCCTATTTAGATTTATTTTTCACTGAGAAACTTTTATCAATTTATTAATTCTTATAACTTATGATTATACGCTTATCATAAAGTAAATTATATTTATCATAAAAATTATCTTATTTAAGCACAGTTGTATTTAAAATAAAATGACAAATAGAATATTTTGTATTTGAATCGATCTGGAATCTAAAATTGTAAAGAAATTACGCACTTATAAGTGTAAACAGTTCTAAGGTTATTTAAGTCATTTTAACAAAAAAAGAGCTTATCAGCACTTTTTAATCAAATAATGCAGCAACTTATTATCAATTTCAGCACTTGTACCCAAACACGTAACTGCTTATTTATTAAATCAGTTTCAGCACTTAATGCTTATCAGCTACTTCAAATCAGCTATCCAAACGGGCTCTATATGTAAGATGTTCATATAGAGAGGCAACACTTTAGAAGCTATCAAACAAGTGAAGGGAAAAAAGGAACGCAAAGCTAAAAGCTCATTTGGTAAAAATGCTTTGTAAAACAGGATGCAACACACAAATATTAGTCATCAAGTTGTCCAAGGAGCTCCAGAGACAAAGAAATGTCACCTCAGCTTATCTTAATGGAACAAAGAGAAAGAGCTAATGGTGTTAGATGATTGACCTATCAACTCTACCAACTAACCACCACTGTAGTTCACAACCATGTCTTTTTTACCTTGCATTCAACCCAATTTTGTAGGTCGAACAACAGGAATTTGTCTTAACTAGTTGCTTATTTAAGGAACACTGTCCCAAACCACTTACACGGAAAGGGCAGACCAACTCTTCAATGTTTAAAAAAGCAGTTCCCTTTGGTACCATAATTGTCTTCAACATATTCTGCTTAGACTCCAAAATCCGTATCCTCCACATATCTCTATCAAGAAATCCAATTAGCAACTTCAGGGCACGTAATATATAATACTCCCTCCGTCCCATTTTATGCGGCACCCTTTGACTTGACACAAATTTTAAGAAAAAAATAAAAACTTTTGAAACTTGTGGTCTAAAACAAGCCTTAGATATTTGTGTGGCCATAAATCATCTCACTAAGGGTACAATGGGAACTTTTGAGTTAAATTGTTTCTAAACATAGAAAGTGACATTCTTTTTGAACAGATTAAAAAGGAAAGAGTGTTATATAAATTGGGACGGAGGGAGTAATGGTTATGGGAGTGCTGTATCACACTCAATAAAAATTCCGACCTAGTTGAGGTCTATTATATGTGGACCCATTTCAACCTAATACTCAAATTAATTTACGGGCTCTCTTACACTAGAGGTTCTCTACACCAGCCTGGTGTAAGTGAATTAGGCGACTATGTCTTAATCACAACTAGTTGGTATCACCTATATATCATTTGTTTTCTTTCTTTTCTATTCTCCTCCAGGTCTGCATGAATTTTGAGAGATTGTAGTCCACAACGATCTCCATGTAATTGTAAGTCTGCTTCGTCTCCTTTTAACACATTTAATCATTATTGTATTGCACTTATATACTACTGCATTTATAGATTGACATAGAGCATAACAAAACAATCTCAGGCGACCCTCTCCCATTTTATCATCTATATGTGCTATTTGTACCTTCCCCTAATCTTGTATGAACGCATATCCATCTCAATATCCGTATTTCTATTACACTCATCTTAACTGAACAACGAATTGCTCTCGGTCGTAACCTTCTTATGATCAAATGGATTATTGTAAGTCCAAAATGTGAACAACTCAGCAAGAATCCATTAGGCAAGGTACTAAAATGGCCCCGCAGGTCCTCATACAGTGGCTTCATTAGGTGCACGTCTCGTGGAAGTAAATGAAGTTAATTGTCCTCTTTTGTTAGAGTTGGATATTAAGCCCTTTTGGTATATGAAGACAGGGTAATTTGTTCCATGCATGGAATTGTTTGCACATATAAATAACTCTTCTAAGTGGGATTGCCATCTGAGTTCACTCTATATTCCAGATGCTCTCCGACTACATCCGTTTCCAAGGAGGTGTCTGCACAACAAGTGATAGATGTCCAACTCACAGAATTATAAATTTTAAGAGTAAGGGTCTGATTTTCACTTGATCAGCTAAACTGGCTGGCGCTGGTCCAATCAGTTCTAAAAGCAGGGCTAGCTATATGAAGATATAGTGGGAAAACTATATGAAGATATCCAAAATTCCAAATCCATCAAATGTGAAAAGGTAATACAAGCTACTAAGTTAGCTTTAAGACAAACAAGATCAATCAATGGAGCAAAAGAAGCTGTCTAACTCGTTGGAGAGAACTACCCTAAGTTGGATGTGAAATTCCCTCGTATGATATTTTGCTACAAGAAAGAGGTCAACCAACCAATAGTAAGTAATGATGCCTTGGAGAAGACATCAAACACCAGTGGTAAAAGACCACAACAAGAAAAATAAATGAGAAAATAATCAATTGTCAGAGACTGAGAAAAGGACATAGCAAGCTGGGAAAACTTTAGTTAGTCTTTTATAAAGATAATAAAACAAGATTGCTTTCTCGCTGTAATCTTGCAATTACCAATTAGTCTCCATGTCATATTGAACACCATGGTTTAACTTTATAGGATTTCTGGAAGAGAAATATTGACTTTGAATAGTTAATTCAATCGAAGTAAAAATTATGGTTATTCTATTACAAGGAGGTCTAAAAGGGAGGTGATATGCTACTTTTGGCTTATTTTGTAGCTGGCACATATTATGATAAGATGCAAGATATTTCAGTTTAGGAAATGAAAATCGAATCTGTACAGCTTAAATCGAAGAACATAACATACTTAGTTTTATTCCTTTCTTGGCACTAGGAGAAATCGGTGATGCCGTAGTTACCACCAAAAGAGATAATTAGCATCTACATTCAAAATTCGAAAAGAAGAAATGATACATTATTCCCTCCTCCACCCTCTTACCATATCGATAGAGCAAAAGATATCGAGGCTTTAAGTATCTAACTCGTGCAGCCATAGAAATTTTTTATGCAATTCATTCGGATCATTAGAACTTAACAAAGAATTCTAAGACCAGACAGAAACAGCATCACAAGATAAATATTACACTACAAGACAGCAATGACATCACAAAGAAGCTTACTTTATTCTCAAGTAACTTGCAGAAATCTGGGGCAAGAGTGCACCTCCCTCCCTGAAACAATTGATTGGAGATTCATTGAATAAAATCATTTGGAAATACAATTTCTTTCTCAGAAAGATATACATATAAAAAGGATTCTACAAGATAAAGTAGATTCTTACTGATCTTCAGCGGCCACTAATGAGAACCAAATTGGATTAATCCTTCTTTCACATTTGGTAGTGATTGCATCCAGCACAGTTTGTGGTGAAATACTAGATTCTCCAAATTCTGTTGCCTTCTTTTGGCGATTCCTTCGCAATTTTTTAGTTTTATCTGATCCCAAATGAGAAGCTCCGCAGTTATTCTTGTCATCGTGAACTTTGATTTTCAGTCCACGTTTTTTCACTTTAGTTTTACGGACATGAGCTTCATTGCCAAGGGAATGCAGGCATTCTGATTTAGCAGTAGAACCTTGGGAAGTAAACTTCGCAGACTTGCTCTGGTTTGCTACTTCGACCAAACAGTTCAAAGGTTTCCATAAATCAACTTTACCTTCCCACTGGTCCGTGCCATTCTCCGTTTCGTTATCAGGCGTGGGTTGGCCAGAAAGCTCAGCACTGGAAGAATTCTGCAAAAGCGGCAGGATTAAGTTTAACAAGAATATCCACCCATATACACTTGATACTGACCTCAGAAAATATTCCAAGGAAGCCTAAGATGATGCACCACACCACTATTGAAGAATGACTTTACCTGCCTTATGTTCTGAGTGAACTTGGTCAAAGTCTCAGGTGAACTAGAGCTATCCAGTTGATCTTCTCCAGATATTTTTTCCTCTTTCTTGATAGGTTTCTCAACAGAAAAGGTGGAGCCTCGTAATGCTTTTCTTGCCACTGATTTTGATCTTCTTCCTGTTGTTCCAGTCTGTGTTGATACTCTTGGAGTGCTGACCACTAGTGAAGATAGTGATCTCTCTTTTCTCCTGACTGGAAGGGCAATCGGAGGCACAACTTCAGGTGCCTGCACCTTTTGCCTCTTGTAAGGGAATATCTTTGCTCTTACATCTTGCAGATTATGATCTGGCCTGAAATGAAAAGGGAAAAAGAAAAGATAAATTGACATGTGGAGTATGGCAAATAAGAAAAGTTAACCAGAAAACCCCTCAGTCACTTTGAACCGGCCCCATCAGTACAATGTGCTGTGTCTATTTATCTCTCTCTTTGCTCAAAATGGGAGCAGGTTCGGAAAAGGACCGAGTGTCTAAGATTGGACCAAAAGGGTCTCTAACGCCTTCTTTTTTTCCTTCTTATAGGAGTTATTCAACAAAGATTTTCCAGGATAAGGCAGAAAGGCGGAACAAGCTTCAGGAAAACCTCATATTTCAAGCAACCATGAAAGTGAATACTATACGCATAAGTGCAGGTATGTGCACTCATAATCAGCAAATATTCATGCTAGCCAATGAAGCATCTCACTGAGCCTAACCTAAGGTAAATGGTGAAAGCTACCCAATTTTGTTTTAATAAGATATATGTGCAATCATGATCAGCAAAACTTCATGATAGCCAATGAAGTATCTCACTGTGCCTGGCCTAAGGTAAATGGTGAAAGCTACCCAGTTTTATTTAATAAGATATATCCACAAGTCAAATGTTGCACTAAATACTCCCAGTTCTCTTTTGTCATTCTCTCTTCTACTGCCTTCAAGAACTTCCAAGATCTGCAAAAGTGAACTTTAATCCTAATGTTATCAAGGCCATTCTTAGAGTACAGGTCACCTTACTTTGTCTATGTCAAGTTTCCTCTCTACATATCGCAAGAAATCACTTGTCATTGCCTATGTGGTCTCACTTGGCAGAACCTCTAAATGTATCACAGATCATCTTTTTAAGTGAATTCGAAATTTTGCAGTGTGTTCAGTTATAACTTTCTAGTCAATCTTAGTGGTACATAGTACAAACACGGAAGAGCGCTTTGATTTCTGCCCAGTCTTCTAAGTGAAATCCTAATTCATTTATGATAAGCACCAAAACAATCATGTAAAGCACTGTGATCTCTGTTCAGTATTCTTAAGATCCTAACTCATCTATGTCCAGAAAGCACGAAATATTGATGAACAACTTGGAGAATAGTTTATTTGGCGATGAACTACGTAGAGAATAAAAAGTAACTGTGCTGGGAAAAAGTGGAAATTTCAATACTTCATCGAATTTCCATCCTCCTATGAGCATAGCACATTGCTCTCAGAATCATCATTAATTGATGTTAGGTCAGTAGAAAGTAAGAAGGTAACACATGCACAGCCAAGCATTTGGCTTCTTTAAATAATAAAAAAAAACTATAAAGCTAAAGTCTCCACCCCATATCTTTCACACAAGGGTCAAGACGCTCTAACTTGTTGCATATGCATATCAAACTTCAAAGGGACAACACTGCAAAGCAGTCTGGAACTGAACATGCAGTACGCTTCATGCTGTTAAAATTGATAGGCTTACAAAATGAAGTTAATCAAAAGAGTGATATGCTACTAGAAGTTCCACGTATAAATGCAAAAGGTAAAACTAGAACTATCTACATCAATATGCCAATCGAGCACTTAAGCACACATTTGCATGTGAAGATTACAGAAAAAGGAAAACAGTGAGAGTAGGAAGATATTTATGACCTCAATTTCTCTAATGGGACACAACCCAAGTCAATATTGCATATTGGGCAGCATTCCGTTTCTTCATCAGAGAGCTTCTTATAGATGCATTTCCTGCAAACTGGGTGAAATTCAGAAAGAATATTATCACAGGAAAAAAAACTCATCTTTTCTAGAAACAACAGAAGCTAGTGTCGATATTGCTCAAATAAAACAGCAAAATTATTCTTTTTAAGGGAAATGAGAAGAATGTAAGGAAGTTTAAGTCATTTATTAACCATGATGTTTAAAAAAATATACACTGATTAGGGTCAATCAAGCATATTTTCCTCCTTATATGATTAGCCAAGAAATTAACATTCCAATAACTGCATAATTAACATAAAGATTTCATAACAATTTCCAATTGAACCCTATGAAAATTAAAGAGATATAGCATAAGAATAAGTCATGTGCCACTTCACCACATTTTGTTGAAGCTCAATTACACATAATGAAGCTAAGTGTCCGTCTCTCTCTCTCTTTTGGAAAAGCATCAAGTAAATATCTTGAACAGAAAATTTCCACATAAATCAGCAACTGCCAATTTAATTCATTACCGCTGAGTAAATATGTGAGGTTTATTTAAACAAGATTATCAATCAAGTATAGCTCGTTCTATTTAGTTGATAAAGCAGATGTCTTGAATAGAAAATTTCTATATAAGTCAGCAACTGCTAATTTAATTCATTACAACTAAGTAAATGTGCGACAATTATTTAAACAAGCTTATCAATCAAACAGGTATAGCTCGTCCAATTTAGCTGATAAGGGCAAGATACTGACTTTATGTTCGACCCACCCTATAATCGTTCAAACACTAAGCAGACAAAGAGGTATGTTCAATTCTCTTAAAAGAAAAGACTACATAAAAGCTCTGAGCACATTAAAATCACCCAAATTTTGATCCACCTAAAATGATAGTACAAATAAAGCAAACCCAGATCGAAAATTCAAATTTCCAATAGAAAGAACTTACACGTGTGAAGACATTCGGAAACAGTAGTGGCATCTCTAAAGAGCTTATGGCAAAGAGGGCATGTTATGCATGCCGCAATTCTATCTCTCTTCACTTTCACCACTTGATTCGCCATATTTCTCATACTCTTTAATTGATAATCAGCTCTTCACACTTAATTAGAATTCTTCAAATTTGAAACCCAGTCCTCGTTATATCTCCTCAGTCTCAAATCTCACGTAAAATCAAGCAGTGCATGTTACAAACACCTGGAATTTACGTCCATTTGCCCTTTCTTTATCTGCATTAAACCCAAAAATAGAAGCTAACGATCATCAAACAGAACTATTTATGCAACAAAACTGTTACCACAGTAAAGTGACATGTGAATCTGGGTATAAAAAGATTGAAATTTGAAAAANTGTAGATGATCTCCTCTCTTCTTCTCTGTTACTCTGTGCGTTTGTGTGTTCGTGCAATTTGGGTTTTGGAAGTTGAAATCGAGAGAGAATGGCTTGAGGCTTCGTGCTCAGAATGGCATGAAATAAAGAGAATACTTTCTGTACTTTGTTTTTTTTATATATTACGGACACAGTATGTACTTACAGTTTTTCTGTTTTTACAGATATATTTTTTTAAAGTCAAATTTTACCTTGTACTATTTGAGATTGAATAACTTTATTAAATTCTTTTGTCTAATTCTACCCTTGTCATTAGGAAATAAATCTTATTTTTGCTCTTGATTGTAAATCATTTAAATTTTGACGAATAAATATATTTTTTTAAGAATTTGAACACGTAAAATTCGCCTATCGTGCTCAGGGGAGGATGTAGTCCTATAACTTTAACGTAAATTTATAACGTAGAATAGCAAGGTTTTATTGAATTCAGATAGAACATAAATTTATGTGCTAAAATTTATTGAAATCGCAATAAATTGTAAATACTAACCCATAACTTTAACGATATAATGAGTTAAATACTGAAAACCTTAAAGGTTAAACTCAAAGAGTTTAAATCCTAGTTTCGGCTATGAGAGAACCTAGCAAATAGTATGAGATAATTAGAATAAATTTAAAAATTTTCGAATTGTATATGGATATATTTGAACATCTTTTCTTTTTTCCTTAACCAGTATATTATTTTTTACTTCTATAGAATGTTATAGGAAAGTAAATTGTGGACTCAAGACGAGTTTTTTGAAAATAGAGGGGTTTAGATGATAAATGTGGCGTTAGCGAATAGGAACAAAGACTGGGCATTTTGTATGCGTGACGGCATGCTACAAAAAGGAGGGTTGGCGATTAATTGTGTGTCGAGGTGCATGTTAGCTTGGGCGTGCTACTTAAGAATTCTCTTGTCTTATTCTTTTTATTATTGTGCGAGGAAAGAGCTTGTTAAAAAAAGCATTACTAGTATTTATGTAGTTGTAGTTTATCTATTTGAAGATATTTGAGTAAGTTATAAGTAGGGGTGTTCGTCAGTCGAGAACAAAATCTCATTTCTTTGTGTGCACAAGTACCAATATGGCAGGTGACAGGGAAGAAAGTACGAGAATAATAGGTGACCTCCTAACCAACCTCATGAACGTCATCAACGAAAGCTGTGAAACATCAAACGAAGACGTGACATCCAATGCATCCCCTAGGTGAGGGATCACCTCCCCCTCACTGCAGCATTACAAAATCTCTGGGTAAGTGAGCCTCCACATCTGTGGCAGAGGAGACGCCCCCAACTGTAAAAAGCTCCTTGAGGCATGGCTGACTGACACATTAACCAACGTCCTTCATAAGCCCGCTCGGAATACGGGTACGGAGAATGCAAGAGCCTGTGTTATACAACCAGTAGATGAGCAGCATAATTAACTCCCTCTCCCACCAACGACAGATATTACTCACAACGTCAATGACAATGTAGGTGACAACACTCTTGAAGCGATTTTGAAAAGGATGGAGGAAATGGAGAACGAGAACAAGGTGCTCCGAGATCAAATGAAAGAACACCGAGAAAGGGTCGATAAAATAGCGGGCGCCCCTAAACTGTTGCCGAAGAGATACGCTGGTTGGTTCGTTGAGCAGCCATACAGTGATAGGCAGCCCCACATGTCATACCAAAAACATTCAAAATGCCGCCCCACCTAAGAATATATGATGGCATGACTGGCCCTGAAGATCACGTGACTCACTACGGCACTGCCGTAAAAGGTAATGATCTTGCCAAAGAACAAGTATCCTCCATTTTGTTGAAGAAATTCGGTGAAACCCTCACAAGAGGAGCATTGACATGGTATTCACAACTACCTGCACGCTCCATTGAAACTTTCGAAGAGATGGCCAACAATTTCATAACGAACCATGCTGGGGCCAAGAAAGCCGAGGCAAGCGTGAACAACATATTTGCAATTAAACAGTCTCTAGGAGAGGGATTGGGGGATTTCCTTTCCTGTTTCAACGAGTAAGTATGACCCCGCCGAACGTGTCAGAAGGGATGGCAGTCGCAGCCTTCCAGAACGGGCTGAGCAGGGACAGTTCGAGGGTGACTAGAAAGCTATTGAGTCGACTGATGAAGTATCTCCCAACCACTTGGGATGAAATACACAATGCATATTGTGTTGAGGTCCGAGCATATGAAAATGACCTCAACGGACCAACTCATCGACTGACCTCGGTACAGGCCGAATCCAGAAAAAGATCGAAGAAATGATACCAGAAGGGATCTTGTAGCTCCGCGACCCAATAGGGAATGACATCAACCATATGTCAAAGCGGCTGTTACAACCACGAAGAAGGCCCGCCCAGATCAAGGATAGGGACTCACCGGAACGAAAGAGGTATGCCTCATTTATTATCCACTCACAACTTTTGTGTGTCACCTACAAAAATAGTCTACGCCCTAGAGAAGCTCGGACCAAATATGAAGTGGCCGCAAAAGATGAGGTGAGATCCGAGTACCAGAAAGTCAGATGCCCTCTGCGAGTTCCACCAAGAACGAGGGCACAGAACTGAAGATTGCATCGCCCTAAGGCAGGAAATCGTGAACATGTTGCGACAAGGACACCTCAAAGAGTTGCTGAGTGACCGTGGAAGGACCAACTTTGCCAGAGGCCGCAAACAATACCAAGGATAGCCGAAACAACCGTCACAATCTCGAACCATTCACATGATCATCGGCGGTGGCGATGAAGTTTCCATCAACAGTGTAAAGTTCACCACTACCCATAAGCTCAAACGGTCGATCACCCATGAACGGTATGACAAACTCGACGAGAGTATCATCTTCGATAAGTTGGATACCAACGGTTTGGCTTTCCCTCACTATGATGCCCTTGTTATTACTTTACAAATTTTAGATACCGATGTAAGACGAATTATGGGGGACGATGTGAGCGGCGCGTATATTATCCATTATCGAGTACTTACACAAATGAAACTCGAAGATAATATAGTGTCGTGTTGCATCACGCTAACTAGTTTTAAAAATTCACTCGAGCGAACGTCCGGTGAGATCACACTCCCCGTTCTGGCTGGTGGCGTCACTCTAGAAACCACGTTCTATATCATGGACCAAGACACGACATACAACGTCATAATAGGGCGAACGTGAATGCACACCATGAGGGTCGTCCCTTCCAGCTTGTACCAGGTCATCAAGTTCCTGACTCTTTGGGGAATATTCAGCATACTGGGGGACAATGTACATCAAGGGAATGCTACCGCATCGCCCTATATAGCACGATCACTCAACAAATGGACGGAGAAAAAGAGGCATAGCAATCAACAAGGTCGAGGTTGATATATGACGATAGCGAGGACGTCATCAGAGACCCTGATACGGTTGAATCTGCAAGATCGACCATAGAAGACCTCGACCCCGTTCAACTAGACCTTAACAACCACGACAAGAAAGCTTACATCGGTAGCAAACTTCAAGAGCCAGGTAAATTTTGTCAATTCTTAACTACTACTATAGATTTGTTTACCGTCAACCATGTAGATATGTAGGATATCATAAAGGAAATCTCCACACACAAGCTAAACGTTGACCCATTCCACCCCTAGTGAGTCAAGTGAGGCGTAAATATAACTCTACAATCAATGACGCGGTACGTGAGGAAGTAGAACATCTGTTGGAAAATGGCTTCATCAGGGAATTGAAGTACCCCCAGTGGGTCGCCAACATGGCCATGGTAACAGAAAATGGCAGATGTGTGTGGATTTCACAGATTTAAACAAAGCATGCCCAAAAGATTTGTTCCCATTTGTCAAGACCCTAAACCCGGACCCGGTCATGATGGCGTCTCTCGTGAAAACAAGGTCGATCGACACTTCCCATATCCACTTATTATCAGCTAAACCATAAGAAATAAATCTAAAGTATAATATATATCAAAAATTAACAAATAATAGCATAATTCGCGGAAAAATAACCCAACACAGCCCGATATCGGGGTGTCACTAGTCATGAGCATCTACAAGTTCTAATACAAGTTTGAGAAGTCTATAAACTATTACAAACTATCTGATAAAGAGATAGAAATGATAAGGGGGAGAAACACGGGACTGCAGACACCAAGCAGCTACCTCGTGGACTCCAAAATCTGTCGGGAGCTCTCAACTCGCACTGGCAGGATCAGAAATGCCTGAATCTGCACACGGGGTACAGGGAGTAAAGTGAGTACTCCAACTCAGTGAGTAACAAATGTAAATAAAGACTGAAAGCAAGAAATCGCGTAGAGCACAAAACATTCTATAATGAGGCAGTAAAACCATTTAAAAATCAGTGAATCAGTGAAAGATAGGCAAAAATCCTTTATATCAAATGTAATTTCATGAAAATCCCTTTTTCAACAATTAAGCAGGTAATGGACAGTTAATTAAGAAAATAAACACATAAAGGTTCGCCTCTCGGGCACAGTATCCACAATTCCGCCCCTCGGGCAACATCTCAGAACAATACCAGCCCCTCGGGCTCAATCTCACATCACAATGGGTACCCGTGCTCACTGGGGGTGTACAGACTCCTAGAGGGGCCCCTTACGTCCCAAGCGCAATTTCAAGCCACCTCGTGTCATCATCACTAGGCCCTCGGCCTCATATCAATCAAGTCACCTCGTGGCATACATATCTCAGGCCCTCGACCTCATAATCAGTATCAAATATTTCCTCACAACATAGGCCCTCAGCCCTACTCAGTCAAAATCCTCACAAGCCACTCGGGAAATAGTAAAACATGATTCTCAGCCCAAAAATATCATTGAAAAGATCATGTAAGTGTTAAAATAGAGTAAAACATGGCTGAGTACGAAAACAGTGAAATATAACATGACTGAGTTCAGGTATAAAGTCAAAATAGTGAGGAAATACCAATAAAAATCCCCGAAGGGTTCAAATAGTTAGCACAAGGCCCAAATATGGCATTCACCCCAA